TTCTTCAATGGTAAATTAACTGTACCTATACTATACTGGATAGCACTTTCTTAGTCTTCTTAACACTCAAAGTGCTTTTACACCACATGTCATTAACACACATTCACATACTGATGGTGGGGGCTGCTAAAAAGAGTATCCATCAGTATGAATTTATCCCATTTAAACACTGCTGGTTATGCCACCGACAGCATTTTGGGGCTCAGTGTCTAGCCAAAGGACACTTGTGACTGCAGGTTCTGGGATTACCGATTGAGAGATGAACATCTCTATCACTTTGCAGCTGCACAGACCTTTGCAGGATATTAGGTTAGTAGGTTTAAGCTGGTACAGCACCAAAGTGAATAGACAGTAGGTAAATAAAGAGTGTATGCAAAACTGAGGGGGAAAAGCATTGAATCCTACCAACGTTCCTGGATGTGAGAACTTTTGCTTTAAATATCCGTTGGCATAAAGCAATACTTGACAGATTGATAGACTTGTGCATGCTCACATCAAGCCATGTGATTTCACGAAATAAAGGTTTCAAGCTGTTGCCTCATGCTGCTTTTTGAGGCCACAGCGGGCAGAGATACCTAGTTTAGCATCAAATTTTCCCAGAGGAGTCGTGGACTTCTGGCAGACCAGTTGGCCACCTTAAATACAATTATCTGTTACATTGCTCCTCTGTCTTTTTACCTGGCTGTAAATTGCCCAATCACATTCTACACTGTTGTTATACCCTCCCTCCTCACAAAATGTGCACTCTTTTCACATTCGTCTTTTTCTGTCCTTAAGCTTATCCACATGCACATTTTATTCATCACTCCATTAGAAGAGGCTTTGTTTTCTCAAGGCTTCAGATTCATCCCAACATGCGTGAAACATTAGTACTCGATGCACCATTACCTGGTTAATGTTCACTGGAGACACAGTAATATCTTTACACGGGCCAGTTGAGAGCAGTCGTATCATGGTACATTTAGCATAGCTGTTTGAAGGAGCTAAAGCCTGTGTAGACTTATGCCCATGTGCCTATATATAAAACTGTGCATTGTTGGCTCTCTTTTATCCTCGAGGACAGACAGAGGAGAGAATCAGGAAATACTGCAGTTCTACTTTTGTCAATATGGAAGTTTACCCATTATAGATTCTTACACAAAGTCAGGTTTTTCTTTTCAATGTTCTTATAGTTTGGATTGAGATAAATCAACAAAATGTATTGAGAGTGTCACAAAATCCATAATTAATAATTCATTGGATTAGGTATCATGGATTAGTCATTGCAAACGATTTGATAATACAATAAAAGTACACATTTTAAAAATGTTCAATGATGAATAAATATTTAATAATGAAGTCAGAGTTTTGGGGCAGATAAAGCCATTGGACGCAAACACAAACACGTTTTTACTTTCCCTGATTTTGTCCAAGTACTTTCTGCAGCAAAATCCCCCAGTTTCCTCTAAAGGCTATTTCTGTTTTGAAAATCAAACACTACTTATAAATTATATTACATTGCATAAACATTTCAACCCAAATTAAGACCACTTAGACGTAGGATTAGATTCGGTAAGATTGTGATTTATTTTAGGTTCAAGATTTAGAATTGGAGTTAATTTCCAGGTCAATTCACAATGTTTATCTTATCTTTGCTAATAGCTACTTTGAATACATCAATTTTTAAGGTTTGCTTTCCCATGTTAAATCTTCAAGATAGATTTGAGACACATGCAAGATCAAAAAAACATTAAAGTTTGTCCGAATGACATGATGTAGTTTGGCACTTTGGGAGACACATTGCAGAAGTTAGCAAAAGGACCGAAGTGGTTCGTCCTCCACGAACGAGAACTATTTCTCAAAGCTTTTGCCGAAAGGAAAAATGCTGGCCAATTTGTAGTCTATAAGTGCGATTGGTATTCATTTAGATTTTGTAATATGCACTGATTGACCTTTATTGTTTATGCAAATGACCACCAATGCAAATATAAACACATTTTCAGTTTGCAACTTGCTGCTGCACATAGTGGAACAGATAGCCCCTAAAACATTGAGAAACTTTTCTTATGAGTGGTGAAGGACAACAACTGAGTTGATAGAATATACAACTCCATACAAATGGCATTTAATTGGCTTATGTGTTTACTCTTATTAAGTGATAGTAGTTGTAGTTTACAGGTGGCTGAGATGCCCATTTAAGCAATTAAGGCATGACATGTCTGAAGAAAAAAAAAAACTGACCCTCTTTTTACCTTGAAGGTCACATATTATACTCATTTTCAACAAGTTTAAATATGTTTTAGAGCTCCTAAAATCATGTATGTGACGTTTCTTGCCAATAAATCAATTTTAGAATTTTAGCATGCCAATAAATCCCATTATTTCAGCCTTATTTAGAACAAACACCTAGCTGTGGGAGTGTCACTCAACTGGGGGAGGGGTTACTGCCCTTTGTGATGTCATGAAGGGAAATCTCCAAACGTCTTGTTTGAGCACACAGTAGGCAAAAGATGGAGAGAATGGACCTCTCATAACTGGTGGGTTTGTAGACAGACTAGGGACTAGAAACATTTGAAAGTGTATTTTGCATAATAGGTGACCTTTAAGCACTAAATACAAAATGTTAGAGTCTGTAGGAGTAAAGACACACAAATAATTTGTGATCTTTTTCTGCCCCACAGTTCAAAATTAACCTTGGAAGGAGGGAATTAAATAATCAAACTTGCAAAAAGAGTCTGCAGACTTAAACTTCACAGAAGAAAATTAAGCTGACAAGTATAATCCCTAGTGTAAAGGTAGGATTCTTTGACAAAATTACAGAATCTAATTTATCCGTGTCAACAACTGTTGCAATAAAAAGAAAAGGGAGAGGGAGTAAAGAAAATAAAGTGGGTGCCACAGGTTGCCTTGGCCTGTGTGTCAATTGCTAGTGCACTAAATTGATCCATATTATTGCACAAAGGCAACATATGAAAACAGTGTTTATTGCTGTTAGATACTTGCATTGTTGAGTCCACCTTAAGAATACCATTGACCTTGTTTTTTTTAGAGGAAAAACATCTTGATTTTTTTTCCACACTGACACTCATTGAACTCACATGAAATAAGAGTATCATCAACTTGTTTCAACACTTTATTGAAGCTGCATGAGGATTTCACCAACTGAAACATTTAACCCAAAATGCCATGTTTTTACACCATAACATCAAATGTAAATCATTTATATATCGCATTAATTTTTAATATGTGCCTGCCTCCTGACTCCTGTATCTTTTTAAATTTAAGAGTAGAATCTAAAACAAATTCTGTGGGTTGGATAAACACGGAGCTTCTGGTGAATGTTCAAAAGTTCAAAAAGTTGAAAGGAATACAGGTTTTTTGTTTTTTTTGGTTAAGTTTTTTATTCTGTATGTATTGAACTTCTCAGCTTTTCCGTGTTCATTTTTATATAATTTATTTGTTGTAAATGTTGCATATTTTTCTGCTTTCATATGTGTTCATATATTTTTAATATAATTGCACAAATGGGTCCTTGGACCTTTTGGATGTTGGCTCTTAACATTAACATCCACTCTAAAAGTTCATAGGACCAGTGCCAAATACCCCCGCAGGCTGCACATGGCACTGGAATGCCAACGCTCCCCCCACATACCATCAGCAACCGTCACAGTGTGTTCCAGCAAGGGCCAACGGCACTGGGATGTCAGTGTTCGCCGTCAGCCACCACAATCAACTGCTGCAGGCTGAACCAGCGGGGGGCACTTGGCACTATGGGCTTCCAGTTTCTCACCTCAAGCTATTGGCGCCATGATGCCAGCACCTAGCTTTTCTAAATAACCATGACAGCCACAGGCTCAAGCGATCCCCCTCAATCCACTCTAGTCCAGCCATCAACCACCAAGGTCAGAATCTGCCATCCAGATATAACAAACCTCCTTTATGTAATTTCATCAAACACCAGTACTAACCAATCTTATTGTTTTTATAAACCATTGAGAGCCGTTCCATGATGTCTATCAAAACACAGGCAATCAAAGTTTACATTGAGGTTACTTTCTAAACCTCCCTACTCAAAAAACTTTGGCACCAAGAACCTGTTCAGTATCCTTGCCCCCTTCCTCTAACAGCAGATTTGTCATCTACATCCATACTATCCACTTCTGTTTAACTGTGCAATCTGTCCATAAACCGGTCAACAATAATTATATTTGCAAATATTGTTCACACATAGTTAATTCCCTGGGCTTGTACTAGTTATTCTTCAGATACTCAAATTTGGTACCTTTTGCTTATTCTGTTATTTTTACAGTACATATTTTATAATCTATATATTGCTATATTTCCTACGGCTATATTGTGTTTAACAGCAACTATAACTACCGATTTTCCCGCTGGAATTACTAAGGTATTTCTGATTCCAATAACTATTGCACTCCAGTTTAAGTGCCAAAATAAAATAAAATTTCAAAAAAAGCTTTTCATACGATTTTTACTGAAACAGATGATCTTTGGTTATAACCAAATAGGCTTCTGTAATAGAGCCACATGCTTCTTCACTGGCATCGAACAACATTACATCAGAATGGAGTCAGAAAGGAGGCTGACGCTGCGAGCAAGGCAGCTCCACGTTCAAGGCTGGTCAAGGTAATTTGTGGGAATACGCTGCCAGCTCCAGCAGCAATGATTAGTGACTTTCATGTGAGGGATTTCTGGTGCCCAAAGACATTCAAACTGATTGAGGACATGCGGCTGCTCAGGCTCGTCATTTGAGAGATCTTTTTTAGACTGCAGCCTCTTTTTGAAAGCTCTGAGTCTTTCATTTATTCACATTATGAGATCATATGAGTGTTCTGTATTTCTAACAGCAGTGCTTGAAGCCATTCAAACTACAGGATTAAAGACTTCAAAAAAAAGTATGGAACCATAAGTCCAACATTCCCCTCTGACCGATTTATTGTGTCTAACTTCTGCTTGAGGCTTTTCTAGAGATGTCATACACTCACATTGCGTGAGAAGCTTACCTCCACAAGGAACTCTCAGTCACGCTGTTCAGGTTGAAGTCAAAGAGTTTGGTCAGCATCAGAATCACCTGCAGAACAAGACAGAAGCATGACAATCAATACACAGGTCTACTGGTCAAATGTGTGGCATTCAAGTTCAACAGAATCAATTCACTTTTGACAAGAACAAAAATGAGCAGCTGTCAAACCAGCAATCAATTTATAAAAGACCCCCTGATGCATCTTATAGCGTAAAGCAGTTTTCTCTTTAATGCCATTGAAGTTGTTCCAGATTTTGTATTCATTAGCAAAAGTAATACAAAAAAAACATATTTGGTTTTTGAAGATAAACTGTTGTTGATGGCTACAAATCTCGATGGATGCCATCAGAATCAGAATCAGTTTTTATTTCCAAGTACGTTTACACATGCCATTCGAACAATCCAGAGAAAGTGTGAAGTCTCATCATCACTCGATATAGATGTGTTTTCATCTGGATTTTTTACTGGATCAACACTGAAGCAACACCCATTCATTTTATTATGATGTATTCTTCTTGCTTGTAACCACTAGTTTGTTCTATTGTATTTTGGCTATGATTTATGTAGTGTGCTATTTTCTAATAATCTAATGTCAGGAAAAACTACCATAGCATAGGGGCCACACCACTTAGAGCAAAATTTCAGTAAAAGAAAAAAATTCAGTCAGGACAGTGAGATCTGCATTTGTATGTAAAAGTCCCTGACGTAACAAAAATCGTGGTACATGTTTTTTGTGGAGTCTGAGAAACCATACAAAAACGATATGTAAAAAACACAACAATTACATTTCAAATATTCAAATTATCGTAAAAAATTTACTTTATATTTTCTGTTAATGAGAAATGGTACACGTTAAAAAATATAATATTAAAAACACAGAATTTCCATTTTTACTTATCGAGTGTCCTATTATCTAATAATGTAATGGTTGGCAAAGCATCAAAAGTACTGAACATTTTCCAAAATACACAGATACCTCATATTTGTATTTACTGAAAGTATTTGGTGAATTTATTATTTTGATTATATAACATATAAAAAGTTTGCTCTAATCCCATTATGCCGTTTACAGTGCAATAAGAAATGTCTTATGCTGTAATTGTATCGCACATTCTAAGAGAGATTAAGCTTTTATTTTGAAATGTTATGTGAAGCCATTCTCATAAATCCCATATACATACAAGAGCTGAGCAACATTACCTTTCTAATGCAAGTACCATTATAACAAAGACAATTCAAAATGTTAGTAACTTGTGTTTAAATGTTCTTTTAAAACATTCATATGATCCTGTGTGGTGTTGAATCAGTAACTTTAAGGCCACCTCTCCCATTAAATAGCTTCGTTTTGTTCGCTTGTGGGTAGCTGTACTACAAAAGTGCATTAGTAAGCTCAAGCTGCCACTCTTTGTTAAGACCAAAACATTTCAAATTGTATTAAATACCTGAGTAAGACAAATCCCTGTGTACGATGAGGTGTTAGTGTTCTTCAGTGTCTTTGTCAGGATGAACTTGGCTCAATGTAACAATAGAGATCTACACCCACACACCACTGTGATCCAATATGCATACCACCATACATTCCATTGTTTAACATGAGCCCCTTTTTAATTGTTCCAAACTCATTACTTAATCATATCAGAATGATTTTAAACACTGCACTGTTAATATTCCTCATACTGCTCACACCCTCAAGGTGTATGGGATGAGGGAAAGTGGGTCAGCCAAAGTCTTCAGGGAAAAACAAGAGGCAGAAACATCACATTTTTGCTCGTAGCATAAAAAGAAGTAAAGCAGCACGGAAACTCACAATCTATTTACTTTGTGACTGGAGGTGTATTTGAAATGGAGAGAACTCGGAAGAAGCAGAGGAGGCAAGAAAAAGTCTTCACAGGGAATGCTGCAGTTTCAGTTTAATAAAGTCTTTTGTGTGTTACTGACTTCTTCCTTCCCATGATGTTGATAACTCTGAAAATCTGCGAGGAGATTTTGTGGTGATTTTGACAGTTATCTGATGACCCTCAAGCACTGTGGGTAACCCATTATGGCACATTGGTCAGATGATGTGGCGTGGGCGAGGAGGAGATGTTGCAGATGGAGAAACATCTTCTCACAGTAATGTCTTTGCTTCTGATGCTCTGCTACATCCTAAGCTCTGCAATCGGGAAAAGAGCTGTATGTATGCGGCATGGTGACACATGCAGATAGGCCTATATCTGAACTTCTGAGTAAATGAACAACTTCAGTGTATACTACTTAAATGTGGTGCCTTCAAAGCCTCTTGAAACACCACAATACACAACAATGCCTTGTTACTTTACAATATAGGCTCTAATGTTTTATAATGGCAACCAAACAAATGACAGTTTAGTTTCAATTCAAGTTTCTGTCAATGTCTTGATGCTGAGTTTTGATAGATAATTTTTGAATGTATTGGGCTAGCCAATCCCAGGAATAATCAAACGGCAGCTTTCTACCTGTTTAAATCAGCATTAGAATTGCCCTTGGGCCAGGTATTTATTTTTAGACGTCTGGTGTTGAGTGTTGTTGATATAGCACTTGCTAATGCAAATCCAGAGCCATCATATAGCCTTGCATTCATGCCATTTAGAACAGTTTCCAAAACCTTGCATGATTGGGCTAACCAATAACTATGATATGTATAGCAAAGCGTTTTTTTTACTCATCTTTCAGTGACCAATCAAAAGGGATTGATTTCAAAAGGCATTAGCCTCTGCTTCCAATCCGAGTCTGACTCAAACCACATTCAGACTTCTGTTTGAAGGCACAATATTTACAGTATAGGTTTGTTATGTCTCGCCTTCACTATGAATGTTGCATCGGTGTAATGGGGGGGGTTGAAGTGATCCCCCTCTTTACTGTGTTCAGAGGTAGTAACAGAGGTGTTACAGGGATGAGACGGGATTCGGGAGAACAGCCCTGTGTGTGTGTGTGTGTGTGTGTGCGCACATGTCTGTCTGTGTGTGTATGTGGAGTTCCCGCTGTACTGTGCTCCAACAAGCTTCCGCAACACCATAACGCAATGTGCATTATTAGGCTGGGACACCCATGTTACACCGTTGCGGAAACAACATGAATGTCTTAAGGCGTATGACGGTGGAGCTTTGTTACTATGTTGTGGCGGAATTGCACTTCATGTTACTCGAAACTATGTCGATCATACCTGAAAGACTTTCAGTCGACTTCACAGAGCCAGCCAATAACCAAAGTGTTTCTTGTTGGCCTGGCTGCCTTTTAATATATATATTTTTTAGGCAGGCAGACAAGCCACTATGTGACTTGTGTGACTTTGTGAAACAGTTCCACCAGCATGGGGTTCCAGTGAGTACAAGCAGAACAGATGCACCTTGGGTAGTGGAATTACATTGCGAGGTTGGGGGCAACTGTGATCAAGCTTATTAAGTATGCACTAACATCTGCAGTCTCCCCCCCACCACAAAAAAAAACAAAAAACACCCAAAACGTGTGGCGCACCCTGCCGACCTGTGGCTACCGTTGTTGAGGATGTTTTGTGAAAAACAAGCACCGGCAACACAAGTAGTAAAAAGGCATTGACTAAGAGTTATTCAGGAAGGAGCTGGGCGTGTTTTTAGCACAGGGAGATTTAGCCTGGGGAATGAATAACCTCAAATGTCTGGACTAGACCTTTGCATGCTAATGACTGACCAAGTCCATTTAGCTGCCCAGCTGGAGGCTGAATTCACACTCGCCCCACACTGCTTCTCTCTTTCTCTGTATTCCCTCTCTCTCTTTTTGACCCAGTCCCCCTCGTTATTTCTCTCATCCGTCTCATCCGAGCGCTATTTTCTCCTGTGAGTCTCTGCGTACGTGTGTGAGATGGGGGGGTGAAGGTGAGGATAATGGTTCAATTATGTTTTTTAACACATGTGAGTCACTCTGCTGTGTGTGTGTGTGTGTGTGTGTGTGTGTGTGTGTGTGTGTGTGTGTGTGTGTGTGTGTGTGTGTGTGTGTGTGTGCGTGTGTGTGTGTGTATGGAGGGGTCAGTGTGTACGTCTGGCTGTAGGTGAAGGTGAGAGACAAGTTTTGACTTCACAGCTCTTAAGTTTCCTCCTCTGGCTTGTGTGTCTGTTTGTGTGCGTTACAAGCTGTGATAGGTAATACTTCGGCCCCAGACTGTGGAAAAAGTCCTCTAAAAAGACTGAAGTATATAAGCCGTGTGACTTGGCTTCATTAGTTGAAGGGCAGTGTGCGTACGGGGGCCCTTCTGTCTGCCACATATGGAGAGTTTGTGGGCAGTCATCAGCGAGTGGCCCTGTCAGATGGGCTCCCACTGGAAAGTGCATATGCCCCATCACTGACCATGCCAATTAGGCCTGAGGGCTTCTCCCACTGTAAATACTATGATGGGGTAAGGTTTCCTCTTCACCAGGGCCAGAAGAGCCGGCCGCTGGACACACACACACACACACACACACACACACACACACTCATTTCTGACAGGGTGGAGACAAACCATGACCATGAAGGCATCAGAATGAGACTCAGCTGGTGGCAGTTTGTTACAGAGATACAGTTATTAACCCTGAAGATCCTAAAGTACCTCAGAGCTCACTTTCTATCATTCAGTCCTCTGGAGTGCCCGTCATTTTAAAAATCATTTCAACACACAATAAAGTGAAAGTTAAATTACTTTTACATGTACTTTAGGTTGTAGTCAAAATACTTGACAAGAAATGAACATAATAACACTGGGGGCATTTTTTGTGTGCAAATTTTCTCTAAATTTTTTCATCTCAAAAATGATTTTACCAACTCAAAACAAAGACATTGTAAGTTATTTGGTTCAAATTCACAACTCATCTAAATTGTAGGTAAACGCCAGGACCTCATTGGCTGTCGCACCTTCTTTTATATAAAAGCTTAGCATAAAACAGGGTATACACTGCAAGATAATCAGACCGATTTCGGACCTGATCACCCACTACCAAAGTGAGCAAAGGCCAGATTATCTGATGCTTCCAAATATTATCCGTCTGGATGTACCTGTGGTGTAAGGTGTGTTAAGAATC